CGGCCATTTCTCAGGTACCAGGTGTTACAGATACGTGCGCTTGAGTGTGAGCGAGATAACTACGTATACGTATCGCATGCTTTCGATATGCTCAACGCGAGGTTTTGCAATGCTGATAAAATACCCTGGACTACATTGCAGGTGCTCAACTTAACTACCCTGACCGCTCAGCTCGAACGCTCTCATGGTTCGACGCTTAATTCTCTCGCGGTTTGCTACGGAAAGGTTCACGGTTGCTTCTGAACATGCAACTTCCCACTACTTTTCCTTCTTTGAGTGACAATAAAATTAATTCCGTCCAATCAGAACGCCTGACATCTAGTATTCGATTCACCGTGCAGAATTTTTCCCTTGAATCAGAAATCCCAAGCTACGTACCAGTCTCGAGAATTACGACAACCAATCACTTGCTCGGTCAGCTTTCAAATTCATTTAAACAGCCAGGACCGTATTCCAATACCACTCGCCCATGTACAAAATCGAAACAGTTTAAGTAAAATTCGGATCAAAGAAAATCCGTTAGCGCGTTCCCATTACAAAATGTATGTTCGTTTTTATCGCTATAGAGATACTTTTTGGAAAATATCGATATCTTGTTTGAAAGCTTCCAAATCTAAATCCAGATTTTGGATTATCTTAGATTCATCATCCGTTCGTGGATTAAACTTAAATGACGCTAATTTTGGAAGCCATTTGGATTATACCAATAAGTTGCTGCTCTAAATAATAATAACGTTGGTTTCTTCATAGTCACCTTTAAGGGTTGGATGTAATTGCCTTAGCGAACATAGAAAATCAATTGTTAATTTACGAAAACTGGAGAGAACGATTCTGAGCGCGTAACAGCTTCAGAACAACACCATAAACGAAATAAAATACTCACTACACATAAAGTAAACGACAATACGAAATACAATTGCGTAGGGGCGAAGTGAAATATTAGACGGCTGGCAGGGGCAAATTTTGGTAGAGGAAAAAATTCCGCATCGGCCGATTAATAATGGCTTACGTAAACATTTAATACGAAAAGGGGGAGAATTTTCGTTTAGCTTGGAACATATTTTCATATATAGAGAGGCGATAGGTGCGCTGCTGTTTCCGAAAGTTCGTTTTCACACCCTATCGGGAAGTGTGTATAGAACTCGGAAAGTCAAGTTGTTAGTAAGATATTCAAGTTTTTGTAAATGAGAGTATTCATTTACATATTCAAATACTTACCCGAAGTGGAAACATATGGAGGTTACGGCAGAATTTCGGACGAAACCATTAGAGGGATAGATACTGAAAAAGTCATTCATCTAATGTAAATAGGGCGATTTAATAAATAATCTCCAGTAACCCATGGGATATCGTAACAGGGTTGGTTGTTCAATTATTATTTACGGACGAAGGTTCCCGAAGGATTAATACACCCTAGGGAAATAGAGAAGACTAGGTATTTTCTAAGTTTATTGAATTACCGCTATTTACGGGGGAGAGGTTTGCTGTTAAATTTTTCTGTTTTATGGCCCTAAATATCTTATGAAGCATTGTAAATGTAAATTAGTTCTTAAATGCGTTAATAAACTTACTATAACGGAGCGATTCCGCGTAATTTGTTTATGTTTATAATTAATTACATTAATAAATTTGTTACGTAAGCAATTTATGTACCAAACGCATGTGGTGTTTACAGTATATGCCTTTTAGTAACACGTATTTGAAACAGCAGATACATAATTTATCATTTCAATCTACGTGAAATGAGTTTCCAATATGCGTAAGTTATACGGAAAATTACCCTCATTTTTCAATACTGCTTTTTTAAGTAACAAGTGAGGGTACCAGTTTGTGTTTGTCACAATCCCCTTTAAAAACATTTCAAACTTATGAATTATTTAATTTGGAATTTGCATTTAGCTTGGCATATTTTGAAAACTGAAGAAAAATCAGTTAAATTATTAGTAATACACAATTCCCATTAATTAATGTATGTACATGCACTTAGTCAACATAGGAGTATCAAGTACCTGCGATACCACGTTTAGTACCTACTTTAATTCGAAATTTATGACTCCTCTATTTACTGAACAACATCGCAAAGGTCGGTAAAACAGTAAGTAATTACGATTAATTATTATAAATTCAGTTCCACTTAAGTACTTATTTAATAGGTAGAGAGATTTTAATTAATCTTTTATATCAAAATATGAAATTAAACTCGAAAACTTTTGCAAATTCTGAAATATACCTATCGTATTTTTAATATCTTTCTACAAATTAAAGAAAATACACTAAGATTGCTGATGGCAACCTTTTGTAAAATGTTTACAATGGGCCCATTTGATTCACGCATTAGATCATCTATCATCTACCAGTGCTGGCTTTAAACCGTCGAAATTAAACGAGGTCACCCCTTAGTTATATCGCTATCAAGAGTTCTTGTTTGCGGCTCCCTTTAAATCGCGTACTTAATTGATCAAAATCAAAGTCCAATTTCAAAGAAATAATTCAATTAATGCGAAACCGCAAAAATATTCGACCTATGTCGGCTATGTCCTTTTGGCACCACTAGTGACATCATCAAGGCCACGACCTTTCGCTACAACCAAGGTCGGTCATTAGTTTTCGTTTTTCGAATGAATTGTAAAGAAATACTTTCTATTTCCTCATAGTATTTCAGTATTTGGCTGTGTACGAACGCGTCAGTTTGATCAGTCCGTTATCATCTCCTAGAGCTTACGCCATTAAATTGATATTACTACTAGTAGGGGAGCTAGCACGAAATCCACTGAACGAGAATGATCAAAATTTTAACCGATGAAGTTCCATTTTGCCCTATCAGAGTATGCTAAAATCGATCGTCTGCCGCCTCAGGTCATATGACTTAAGGCGCTGCGGGTACTTCTTGCGGTACCAATTCTGAAAGGTTGTTTTTTGAGAAAATAAGTTATACACCAAATGAAAACGTTGATAATAGCTCTTAAAAAATATTTAAAAAAATCGCGAACATTTGATAACTCCGTAAAAAAATAATTCTTAGTCGGTTTTTCACGAACGGATATAACTAGGTTACGGTTGGACGAATGAAGCTGATTTTTTTTACAGATTGATGATAGGTACTACTAATGACTTAACGGTGTTTCGTTTTTAAATTTTTTCTCTAATTATAAGATTATCTTAACATTATAACATTATTTACGTCATTTTTTATAATAAACCTGTGCAGAACCAAGTTAACCAAAGTTGTGTAGAAGTTTAAAGCGTGTTTTCCTAATGCGGGAAAAGTGTTGTCTGGTCGAAAAAGAAAACAATGTAATATACCAAGGTTTTTTGTTAAAGTGCTCTTCTTATTAAAAAGTTTCTACCGTGCGAACAGCCACTGAAAATCTGTTCATTTTATTCATCAAGTTCCGTGTTATCCAGAACTTTCGGAAGCTGTCAGTGTTTGTGTGTGAGTTAAATGCGCCTGAATATCGCTAACCTTATACGACCAGATTATTTGGATTATTTAAAAAAAGTGTAAGTAATTTTAAGATTTTTTTATTTTATTTGTCGAGCGTATGCGTGCGGGGTAATATGTCCAAAGGAAATTTTGTAAGCTTCTCTTTCTTTCAGGGATTTTGTTTTATTTTGTTCATCTGTTTCGGAGTAAATTGTTGTCATTGTCAATCAATTAATTGTGAGTTTATTCGAATCCATTTTGTGACGTGGCTCGGACGTTTTTCATGTCAGATGTTTCTTTGTGTGTTCAAGAATTATGTCAGGTATTGAACATTTATGTAGTTAATTGTATCGAATTTTAGAAAGGGTGGAGGCTACTGAGTCTCCCAAATTATTAAGTCAAAATTGAGATTTTTATTGAGACAGGCGCCGAAGTTCTACGAGGAAAATAATTACAATTTAATTTTTAAAATTTTTAAAACAAAAGTTTGATGCTAGCTGGACAGGTGTTTTGTGGGTGGCGTACTGACCGCATGCCATTGCACACAGCAACATATTCCTTAACCGTGTATGAACACATATGCCGCTTGCAGTGCACGACTCTCCTCCCGTTTCGGTTGTTACTACTATCTCATTCCGTCATAATACTATATTAATTTCTGGAGCCCTTAACAAAAAAATTGTGTTACGTGTGTTTATGAACCCAGTAAATTTTGTCTTTTGATAATTTGGGTGAAGGACAAATGTTTAATATCTAGTTATTGTTAAGGTCATGTTCAGTCACGAAGAGTGGGGCGATGAGTAGGTGCTCTGACATTCTGCGTGACATTTCAACATTTTGTACTTTTGCGTTGATTCATACACTGAGCAACCAAGTGAGTTACATAGCAACATATTTTGTTTGTAAACCGCTCTTGGTAATTGCAGCTAATTAGTTCCGTTATTGCCACTACTATAATAGTGCTACTACTGTAAAGAAATGAAATTAATTACATAGAAGGACGTAATTATACGGTTGTATAATTTTAATTATAACGAAGATCGTGTAAAATACGTTGTACGTGTTAACGCCGCGGTGATGAGCTCAAGAAGAATGACAGTTTACAATGCACTAAAAGCAAGCAGGTGGTAGGTCGGGCATGTGTTTTCTATTTTGAAAGCATTGCGCACGTTATTTTTGATCTTTCATGTTCAGTTAAGTTCATCTCATAGATAAATTTGTATGTTGCTTCCATCGAAATCAGATAAGTTTACCGGAAACATGAAGGAGTAATTCGTATCATTAAGATAGTTTCTTTTGTTAATTAATTGGAATGCCCCTCGGTAATTAGTTGGGTTCAGCGTTTTAATAATAGAATTTTGTGTAGGTAAAAGAAGTTCTTGGGCAAAAGCTGCAGTTTTTCTGTGCTGTTTAAAATGCGTCTTGGATGCAAAAGGAAAAATTGGTACGTGATTCTACTAGTAATAAATTGGTGGC